CCCAGAAATAATTAATTCAGACGTGTCCACGATTTGAAAATAACTAAGAGATTAAGTATGAGATGGACAAGGTTTAGTTTAATAATAAGAGAAATAGAAGAAATATAATATAGAACGAAAACCATTTAATTCAATTTTTCTTTTCAGGTTTGATTATAGAATAATACTACACCCACAAATCTTCTTACAAACTTTCTCTCACAACCCCGACGTAACAGTTAACAATTGGTCAGCTCGTAATTAGTCACATCTGAGTCATACTTAATAAATTATGGTTGATTAATTGTGACCTGCTATGTTAGAGTAGTGAGAGCAAATTTGTGATAAGAGGTTGTTAGTGTAGACTTTTATTAAATCACCCTGAAGATTGAGGTTTCTATTATAAGTTTAGGGTAATGTGGTGTTAAGCCAATCCAAGTAGAATTAGGTTAGATATTCATATGGGGCAACCTGATCTGATTAAGACTCACGTCCACTCAATCCATTAAGAGTAAACGACCTTTTCCCAGCTAAGGTTTGCCTTAATAACCTTTCCCACCTAAAAAGTTTTAAAATACTACTTTTTCATCCAAAGTTAATATTCTGTTACTACCTAAGTCGATTTCTATCGATTTCGATAGCAAAAATTCTTTCCGTAACCACCATTTGAACCTCCGTTCTCATATCTACAAAACCCCTCTCACTCCAGTACTTGATTTCTTGTTAATTAGCAATCACTTCAAATTTAGGGTTTCTTGTTCTTAGTTGATTTTCAACTGATTTTGACTGCAAATATTTAATTGGCCATCACCATTCGATCCACCAGCATACACTCTAAAAAACCCCTCTTACCCTGGCTTCTACTAATTCGTCGAATGTTGGCTGAGAAAATGAAGTATATTTTGAGTATTAACGAAATATAAACTTTGGGTGAGAAAGTGGTATTTTTAAACTTTTTGGGTGGGGATGTATTAAGGCAAACCTTGGGTGGGAAAATGTCGTTTACTCAATTCATTACCCACTCCTTCTCATCATCCGTCTTAAATAATTATACACGATATAAAATGATGAGAGTATTTTACAGAAAGTTATTGAACAAGGCTAACGTAACCCTGCTAGGAGATTTTGTTCCAGCCAATTAACTAAAATTGTAATGCACAATAGATGGGTTTTACATATGGAATTTATTCATTATTTTATTTAATAATAAATTATTTGTTATAATTATACTCTTTTAAATTAATTGTTATAAGGTTGGATCCACGTTGTGGCGAGTGGGGGCAAGTGATTCCACTCACCTCATGTAGCCGTGTGTATCTATTTCTTTGGATTTGTGGTAAAGTTTTTCGCAATCCCACTGCCAATTAACTTCTCACCACCAATTAGTTTTCCTCATGTAATTTTATCCACTTTTAAATACTTTAAAACGTATTAAATAATAGTTTATTTTTATACATAACCAATATCTTTATATCATACTGATTTATTATTTATTAATACATTTATAAACATTTTAAATGGCCTATTACATTAGATAAATGATATATAACTTCTTTAAATAAATAGACAAACATAAAAAGAACTAAGAATACTTCCACCTAAAGTTTAGCGAAATTCAAGTGTGGTACCATTGGTTTCATAAATTCTAGATTACCACCCTTTAATGGATGTCGTCAGTGACGGATGGCATCTGACACAGAAATAGAGGTGCTTTTTTCTTCTTCATCTCCTTTCTTCTTTTTCACTATCACCGGCACTTCCCCTTTGCGCGTTTTCCCCACATTACCCACTACACCGAGCCCCTCGACACTTCCATCAAATTCCCCACATCACCCACTACAAAACCCCTAACATTCTTCCTTGGTGCACCCTCAAGTCATCGCCCGACGGCCATTGCTCCTTTTCATGTTTTCCCATTTTTCAGGCCAGATTTCGATCAATTTTGACACCGGAAACCACCACTTAGAACCCCATTCTCTCCTCAGCAAAACCCTTAACTTTCCTTACCTGGTGCACCCTCAAATTGCCGCCCGATGGCCATTGCCCTTTTCACATTTTCCCCTTTTTCAAGCCAAATTGCAGTCGATTTTGACATCAAAAACCGCCATGACACCACCACTCAAACCCCCATCCTCTCCTCAACAAAACACTTACCCCCACCAGTTGTCCCAGTTGCTGTTTGTCTTCGTGAATTGCACACGACATAGCGCGATAGTCGCATTTTGCGACCCATCCCTTTCCACTGTATAACGTCCTTCCTCCTTCACCTTTGGCTGTGTTGTTGTGTTCGGTTGTGATTGTTGTGTGTAACTGGTCATCGGAAAACCCATAGCAACACAACCTCCCATATCCAGATCACACCCACCACATGTTCGAAGAAATGCCTCACTCAGCATCCTAGCCCAACACACAACACACTACGTGCGTTGGGATGATTTCTGGTGACGGGATCAACTAGAAAAGCTTGAGCCGCACCAAAGCGAATGAAAGGCGATGATTGGCAAACGACAGTGTAAATGACTACTTTACTCTTTGATCGTTACATTAAACGATTTGATGTTAGTTTAAGGGTGACAATCTGGGATTTATGAAACCAGGGATACCAACCTACAATGTCGCTAAATCTTGGGTGGGAACATGTCGGTTACTGTACTTATATCATATGACTATAAATTTATGTGACGGATATACTATATATGAATATATCTTTTAAAATTGTATTATATTAATTTTGGAAGTTTTTTTTCTATATTTTATTATAGAAAAGTAATTTCCTCAACTGAAGTCATTTTATTACTAAAAATCATTTAATCAAATAAAAATCGTAATTATTATTAATATTAGAAGGGTAATAATAAACTGAATAAATAAAAAATGCTGATTTGTTTGTGTACCTAATTTTTTTTGCAATATTAGATATTTATTTATGCTGTGATCAGCTAATAACTATTATTACCTATTCAATTCTTGTCCACATAACTTCTTCATTCCCATGGCTGGAGTTCTAAACATCTCTCAAGCTCCAANTTAAGGCAAACCTTGGGTGGGAAAATGTCGTTTACTCAATTCATTACCCACTCCTTCTCATCATCCGTCTTAAATAATTATACACGATATAAAATGATGAGAGTATTTTACAGAAAGTTATTGAACAAGGCTAACGTAACCCTGCTAGGAAATTTTGTTCCAGCTAATTAACTAAAATTTTAATGTACAATAGATGGGTTTTACATATGGAATTTATTCATTATTTTATTTAATAATAAATTATTTGTTATAATTATACTCTTTTAAATTAATTGTTATAAGGTTGGATCCACGTTGTGGCGAGTGGGGGCAAGTGATTCCACTCACCTCATGTAGCCGTGTGTATCTATTTCTTTGGATTTGTGGTAAAGTTTTTCGCAATCCCACTGCCAATTAACTTCTCACCACCAATTAGTTTTCCTCATGTAATTTTATCCACTTTTAAATACTTTAAAATGTATTATATAATAGTTTATTTTTATACACAACCAATATCTTTATATCATATTGATTTATTATTTATTAATACATTTATAAACATTTTAAATGGCCTATTACATTAGATAAATGATATATAACTTCTTTAAATAAATAGACAAACATAAAAAGAACTAAGAATACTTCCACCTAAAGTTTAGCGAAATTCAAGTGTGGTACCATTGGTTTCATAAATTCTAGATTACCACCCTTTAATGGATGTCGTCAGTGACGGATGGCATCTGACACAGAAATAGAGGTGCTTTTTTCTTCTTCATCTCCTTTCTTCTTTTTCACTATCACCGGCACTTCCCCTTTGCGCGTTTTCCCCACATTACCCACTACACCGAGCCCCTCGACACTTCCATCAAATTCCCCACATCACCCACTACAAAACCCCTAACATTCTTCCTTGGTGCACCCTCAAGTCATCGCCCGACGGCCATTGCTCCTTTTCATGTTTTCCCATTTTTCAGGCCAGATTTCGATCAATTTTGACACCGGAAACCACCACTTAGAACCCCATTCTCTCCTCAGCAAAACCCTTAACTTTCCTTACCTGGTGCACCCTCAAATTGCCGCCCGATGGCCATTGCCCTTTTCACATTTTCCCCTTTTTCAAGCCAAATTGCAGTCGATTTTGACATCAAAAACCGCCATGACACCACCACTCAAACCCCCATCCTCTCCTCAACAAAACACTTACCCCCACCAGTTGTCCCAGTTGCTGTTTGTCTTCGTGAATTGCACACGACATAGCGCGATAGTCGCATTTTGCGACCCATCCCTTTCCACTGTATAACGTCCTTCCTCCTTCACCTTTGGCTGTGTTGTTGTGTTCGGTTGTGATTGTTGTGTGTAACTGGTCATCGGAAAACCCATAGCAACACAACCTCCCATATCCAGATCACACCCACCACATGTTCGAAGAAATGCCTCACTCAGCATCCTAGCCCAACACACAACACACTACGTGCGTTGGGATGATTTCTGGTGACGGGATCAACTAGAAAAGCTTGAGCCGCACCAAAGCGAATGAAAGGCGATGATTGGCAAACGACAGTGTAAATGACTACTTTACTCTTTGATCGTTACATTAAACGATTTGATGTTAGTTTAAGGGTGACAATCTGGGATTTATGAAACCAGGGATACCAACCTACAATGTCGCTAAATCTTGGGTGGGAACATGTCGGTTACTGTACTTATATCATATGACTATAAATTTATGTGACGGATATACTATATATGAATATATCTTTTAAAATTGTATTATATTAATTTTGGAAGTTTTTTTTCTATATTTTATTATAGAAAAGTAATTTCCTCAACTGAAGTCATTTTATTACTAAAAATCATTTAATCAAATAAAAATCGTAATTATTATTAATATTAGAAGGGTAATAATAAACTGAATAAATAAAAAATGCTGATTTGTTTGTGTACCTAATTTTTTTTGCAATATTAGATATTTATTTATGCTGTGATCAGCTAATAACTATTATTACCTATTCAATTCTTGTCCACATAACTTCTTCATTCCCATGGCTGGAGTTCTAAACATCTCTCAAGCTCCAATTTTCCGGTCACTTCCCGGTAGTCGGACAACACCCAGAACCTCAGTCTTCATTAGAGCCACTTCAGAGACCCCACTCAATTCCTCTTCTTCTTCTTCTTCTCAAACAAGCATCAAAGAACCAACACCATTTACTGCCCCGCCTAATTTCAAGCCACCTGAGCCAAAGCGGTTTGGAGTTAGACCCGACAAGGTTTTGGACATCGTGGGGGCCTCTCTTGCTCTATTATTTCGGTTGGCCACTGGTGCTTTTGTTTCTGGGTATGTTTATATCACTGAATGTTGTCGACTTTTGGTTCAAAATTTTTCAACTTTGAAGTAGAGCTGAAGGAAAATACTGAATTTTTTTTATTGAAAATAAAACATTTTTATTAATTGAATGATTTAAACGGATATTAGCTTGTGGCATTTCAAATTCAATCATACTTAGCTCTCTAAACTGAGACCAGAGAAGATATTTTTTTTTCAAAGAAATCTCATACTAATTACGCAGCTGATGTTTCATGGTAGATACGGAATCAAATAGTCCCTTATGCCAGGACTTTTGACTAATTTAAATTTTAGCTATTTTTGCTTTATTTATTTGTTTATGAATGGGGGTAATGAGCAGCTGGGTTTGTATTTTTATTGAAGTCTTGGTGCAGACTATGTTAATTTAGACCCTTATAACATTTTGGATATCAATGCAGGACAGGATGTAAATAGTATGAGACACAAGTAGAATTAGTATAAATTTTATTCACTTTCGTACGGAGTAGTGGAAAATATGTTCAGAATTTTCCTTTGGAGTTCTATCAATTGGTTACTTTCTGTTGAGTTTTCACTTTTCAGGGTGGAAGAAAGTTGCAATCGATATGGAACACACTGACTTTTGTGGTCCCTAAGATTTTAAGATTCTGAGCTAAGATAGATTAGGCTTAACCGTGCAGATTGTATGTCTACTTTGTGCTGAGCCTATTGCATCTTAATTGTTTCTATTATTAAGTGGTTTTTCTTGCCATCCTAATGGTCTATTCCATAGTTCCTTGTTGGGGCTTTTACCCAGTTTGATATGGTAAAAACCTTGAGGAAGATGGGAATGCAGTACTTTTGGAAAGGGATGGAATCAACTAGGATTTATTATGGTTTAAAACAGGACTCTAGCTTTATATAACTACAAGGAAGGGAATAAATGGAGCTTGCCAGTTTTATTTATGACTAGATCGCTAAAAGCCAAATAGAATTCAGAAGTACCTAATCTAGGAAGTTAGCCTCCAACTTGATATTGGGCAGATGACTTCGCAAAAGTGTGTACTGTTGAACATTTGACGTCATTTATCATATATTTTGAATGTTGTCTTGGACGCTTGCCAGCTTCTAAAATTGTATTGCATTGTTCTTCCTCTGCTGCAGGTACTCTGCATCTTTTGTTTCCAAGGATGAGATTCCGCCTGGCCAGTATGCTCTAGACATAGCAGGTAGTAGTCAGATTCCTTATATTGCTATATGATTCTTGAAAAGGTATTGTAGTGATCTTCTTGTAAGAGAGTATCTACCGTTAGTCCAATTAGTGTGCTATTTTGTAAAAGTACCAGATGTAGTACCAGATTCTTGCCATCTTGGTATCTAATTCTGCTTATGCTAGTATTTGGGAATTGTGTGTGATGGATTTGTACTTGTGGTTAAAAGGACTGTGAAAGTGTTTATTCCAGAAAAGAAAGTGGTAAAAATGAAGTTTATTCGATAATTGAGGGGTTATTTTACTCCTCAATTTGGCTTTTTGTAAAATGGGCACTGTATTCATGCCATATTCTTTGACATTCAAGCTGAGAACTGCTAATAAAAAGGCTATGCTTTTAACAGGTTTTAAACTCAAAGAGACCTCCAAGTTAGGCCCTCGTCCAGAGAAGCCTATTGAGATATACGAGTTTGAAAGGTACTATATTGTTCATGCTTTTTCCTTGTGCATATGCTGACTGATATAATTTTTAATGCTTTAATGTTCTCTATACTTTTCTTGAGTCATCCTATTTATGTTCTATATGCAATATTTTCTTTTTATCTATAAAAAAGAGATTGAATGAATATATCTTCCTCTCCACATATCATTCTCGTGGACCACGTGCGAACTTCAGCTGTCCATTTTGTCGAAAGGTAACATCACTCCTCTAGATGATTCATATTCAGTAACTTGTAAAGCATGAATACTTGCATTTCAACACATGATACTGTGAAGAGGTATATAATGGACAGCATTCACTAGTTGCACACCATAAAAATGATGATGATGATGCCTCATTTGTTTAGGTGGTTTAAACTCAATGCAACCTGAAATCTGGTTGAGTTAAACGTCTCAGGTGTTAAAATGAGAAGATAAATTCAGGCATCTATGTTTTTCTATAATGAATATAATTTATAACGCTCTTACAGTTTTGGTATGCCTGAGTGGAGTTGTGCTGCTAAAATATTTGATTATACATGCGGAAGTGTCACAAAGTGTATGAACATAACTATAGCAGAACCCTGGTCCATTGTATATCTCTTTATCAATTGATTGTTCTTAATGGAAATTATATTTATGGCTTATCACAGCATATACTTGTCCTTATATGTGAGCAGGTTAGGGAAATTGTTGCAGTATTGGATCTTGATGTTTTGTATTATCCTTGTCCAAGAAATGGTCCAAATTTTCGTCCCAAGGTTGCTCAAATGGGTGGAAAACAGCTGTTCCCTTACATGGTTAGATTTCCTTTACTTTTGTTCCTGGACTCATCCCTCGTTGATGAGCAAACCGGAGTTAATTTTCTTTGACAAAAAGATCAATTTATCAATATCTTCACATATATAGTGTTTATTCTTTTGTTATCCTTCTTTTGGATATTTGTCCTACGAAATTCCTGCTATACATTATTCAGAAAGCCAAAGAATGCAATACTAACTTCTACTTTTCATAATATTCCATTAATGGCTGAATGTGCAATAGCACTCATCTCTTTGAACATTGTTAATCTTCAGCCATGCTAATTGTTTTTGCACAACTGGATGCTGATCACAGTAATTGAGAAATAAACTGACAATAACAAAGGAATTAAAGATTAAGTCTAGTTGTTACAAATAGAGAACTGATTGTAATATTTTTCATATTGTATTGACAAATTATACATCAATATATATAGGAAAATGAAGAACTAATCTAGGAAATAAATAATCTAATCTAGGAAATAAATATTCTAACTTCCTATTTTACAGATTTATTCCTAATATGTATTGATTATAATCCTAATATCCTATTATAGATTTATACACTTAATTATGCAATATCTGTAAGATTTTGCACGATTATCTACAACACTCTCCCTCAAGATGGAGCATAGATGTTAATCATGCCCAGCTCGTTACAAATATAATCATTCCGAACCCCATTCAAAGGTTTAGTTAAAACATTTCCTAGTTGCTTTCCAGTCTTCACATATCCTGTAGAAATTAAATTTTGCTGTATTTTCTGACGAATGAAATGACAGTTAATTTCAATGTACTTAGTTCGTTCATGAAATACGGGATTAGAAGCAATATGAAGAACGGCTTGGTTGTCACACCACAATTTTGCTGGCAAAGAGGCCATAAGATCAACTTCAGTCAAAAACTGATATATCTATATTACTTCACACACAGACTGGGCCATAGCCCTATATTCTGATGCTGCACTAGATCGGGACACAACAGTTTGCTTCTTACTCTTCCATGAGACCAAATTTCCACCAATAAAAACACGGTAGCCCGTAGTGGATCTCCTATCTATCTTGGAACCCACCTAATCTGCATCAGAGAAGCACTCAATATTTTTATGTCCATGATTTTCGTACAAACTACAACGTCCTGGAGCTCCTTTCAGATAACATAGAATCTGTTCTAACGCTGCCCAATGGTCAACAGTAGGAGAAGACATGAATTGACTTACTACACTGACAGAGTACGCAATATCAGGACGAGTGATTGTTAGATAGTTCAACTTTCCAACCAGTCTTCTATACCTCTTAGGATCTTCAAATAGTTCACCATCTTTGGTAAGTTGCGAATTAGGAAACATTGGCGTACTACATGGCTTAGCACTCAATTTTCCTATCTCAGTCAATAATTCAAGTACATATTTNAGAAGGTCAGAGGCATACTTTGTTTGTTTCAAATGAATACCTTCAGAAGTTCTAATAGCCTCTAAACCAAGAAAATATTGCAAGGATCCAAGTGTCTTGAGGGCAAACTCATCATTTAGGCTTTGCATAAACTAATTTATGTAGGAGCAATCAAAACCAGTTATAAGAATTTCATCCACGTATACAAGGACATAAGTGAAGTGAGAATTTTGTTGTAAGATGAACAAACTAGAATCTGACATACATGTGAGGGCTTAGCTGGATCCTCAAAACCAGGTGGTTGTTTCACACCATTTCACTCAAAGTGCCATTTAGGAAGACATTGTTCACACCAACTTGTTGGATATCCCAACCCTTGGTAACCGCTAAAGTGAGGATAATCCTAATTGTAACGGGTTTTATCACGGGGTTAAAGGTCTCAAAGTAATCAAAGTCAGGGGTTTGTTGAAAACCTTTGGCTACTAACCTTGCCTTGTACTTTTGTAATGACCCATCAGCATTGTACTTGGTTCTAAAGACCCATTTATTTCCCATAACATTAACATCAGAGTGAAAGGAACCAATGTCCACGTATTATTTCTCACGAGGGCATCATACTCAGCTTGCATAGCAACCTTCCATGCAGGACTAACCAATGTTTCAGAAATTGAGGTGGGTTTAGGTTCAACTTGGCATTGATCAACTGTAACTTGAGCTGTAAAGGTACCATGCTCAATACAACAATTTCAATAACAGAGCTCTGGTAGACTTGTCCTTAATAACACAACAATTGGAATCAAATTCAACTATCACATTATTATCACGGGTAAATTTTGAAATGCTTAGCAAATTCTTTGTAATTTTTGGGACACAGAGGATGCTCCTAAGATGCAAAGATCTAGAATGTAAACACTAGGTAAAATGGAACAACTAGTATGAGATATGGGGAAAAAAATAACCATTACCCACTTGAAGTTTGCTTCCACCATCAAAGCTCTTATTGATGTTGAGATGAGTCAAGTCTGCTGCTACATGATCAATGGCCCCAGAGTCCGTATACCACACTGGATCAGTGGGAGTTAGTGAAGTAGCAAGAGTAGTATGCTATCCAGGATGAGTTGTTGCCAGATATGCTTGATTCATTCCTGATTGTTGCTGGCTAGGTGATGAGTGCTTGGAAGTGCACTCATACTTAATGATTTTAAGGGTATTTTGTGAGGGAATTAGGTTTAATTGGTTAATTTTACTTAATTCTGTATCTCTTTTGTTTTCTAGAATCACAAGTATATTTTGTGAATTTTCAAGTGTTTAGGTGTTGAAAAATGAGGATTTCAAGCATGGACATTGAAGATGAAAGAATCATAAGCGTGTAGGAACAAACAATTCGAGAATCGGAGCTCAAACAAAGAAGTTATGGATTTTTTAAGACTGTTCGCCGTAGCGAAACTATTCCCACGCGGCAGGGGAACTATTCCCACGCTGCAGCATAAAAAAGTTGTAAAATGGACAAAAACTTCATGTCGCGACGCCACAAAATCATGTCGCAGCACAATGCGGGAAATTTATGTTCGAAAATTTTTCTGCCAAAACATGCTACACGAACATGATCATAACTTGAGCTACACAACTCCGATTGACCTGGTTCTGGTGCAGTTTCAAAGCTAAGAGACAGAGCTACAACTTTTATTGATCATGGCCCAGTTAGACCTAGAATATGGTTAAAATTGGAGATGAAAGTTATGTTAGTGCTTGGAGATGTGCAGATTTGTTATTATGCGTTTTTAATTAAAGTATAACTTTTTACCATAATACCCTCACGAATTTAATATTATAAATAGATGTCCTTAGCAATATTTTAGGAAGCTAGGGTTTATAATATCAAATATAATTAGGAAGAGGCAAGGAAAGGAGATCTTACCTGGGGTTTCATCTTCTTCTTGTACTTCATGGTTTTCAAGATTTTGAGGTTTGATTTCCTTATGCTCATGTGTAACTAAATACTTTTCTAGGGATCCAATGTAGCCTAATAAGAAGGTTTTATGTCTTTATTAATTCTATTTGTCTTCTCTATCCATTGCAATTCTAGTTTTATTCATTATCCTTTTATTCAATCTTTAATTAATGTTATTGCTTGATCACCTTTAATGTTAATTAATTTATTGTGTGAGACAAGGTTAGAATACACACCCTAACTAATCTTGAATAGTTCGTGTGAATGAATGATTAATATTTTGTGCATACGCCTTGACAGAATGCTAATTGGTTCATGATTTCTTGAATGATTAGTATTTGTGCATACGCCCTGACAGATGCGCCTTTATTCATGATTTCAAATACTCTTGTGTTTAATGGGTTTTTAATCATTATGCTAGACTATAAGCCCTAGCTAGTCTCATGTTAAAGATACTAGGTTAATCTCAAAAGCCTTACAGTAATACCTTAATTATGTGAGTGTTAACCCTAGAAATTGGATTGTGATAATAGTAGTTTGATAGTTGGCATAAAACTGGATTATTATGGTGAAATTGGATACCTAGGTTGTAGTTCATTGGTTCTTAAATTAGTTTTTATTGGTGTTATTTTCGCTTAATCAGTAGTAGTTAATTTTTAGTTTCTTTTTACACTTAGTTTTAATCACTAATTCTTTAATTTGCTTGAATTTATTTGTTTTAATTAAGGCATAGTTATTAGGATTACTTGAAAACTTACAAATCTCTATGGGATCAACCCTTGCTTTTGCACCACTATACTGCAATAGCAATTCGTGCACTTGCAAGGAAGTAAAATTGTTCATCAAGTTTTAGCGCCGTTGCCAAAGATTTGATTTAAGTTACTTAGATTTCTCTGATAATGTGTGCTTTAATTTTTGTTATTAAGTTTTCTTTATTTTTGTCTAGGTTTCCTTTTTGTTTTTGTGTCTTTTCGTGTTTTTTGTTAGTGAATGCAAAGTCATCGGTCATTGGAAGAAGAATTATTTCCACGCGTCGATAGAGTGGATTTAACTGGCAAAAAGAGGAAGGAACCAAAATTTCTGAAAAATCATCATAATCAAGTTCAGAGATAAGAAACGATGGTTGAGTTACCTCTCCTATGAAGGATACGCACGTCCTACCATAGGAACGTTGCCATCATGCATAGTTCTTAATAATGCAGCAAGAAATTATGAGCTTAAACATATTCACTTTCAAATGCTTCCATCTTTTCTTGGAGTAGCTTCAGATGATCCTTAACTTTTATTCGTGATTTTTATTCTACTATTTAGACTTTCCTTTGCAGGGTTTGACAGAAGATCAATTATGGATTAGGTGTTTTCCATACACGTTAAAGGACCAGCAAAGACATGGTATAGACTTTGGCTCTAGCTTCACTCACCACATGGATGCAGTCTACAATAAATTCACAGGTAAATTTTATTCTCATGCCAAACTACTGAATTGCGAGGTAAGATTGCTACTTTTACCCTGTGAAGGTGAACCATTCCATGAAGCTTGGGAACGTTTTAAATTGTTTTTGTTCAGTGTCCACATCATAGGTATCCTTTAGAGTTACTGAACCAATTTTTCTATGATGGACTGACACAGGCTTGTCAAGCCATAGTTAATAATGTTGCAAGTGGTTGCATGGGAGAGAAGACTGCACAAGAGACTTATGATTTGTATGAGATGCTTGGAGCCAACTCACAGCAGAAAATGTTAG